ATCTGCCTCAAGACCCAGCAATGCCACCCTTTGGGTGTATTGCATACCCAAAGGATGCATAATCTTACTACAAGGACATCTGTTCAACTATGTTCATAGCAGAATTATTTGTAATAGTCAGAACCTAGAAACAACCTACATGTCCATCCATTTACACAATGGAGTACTACTCAGTGGTAAAAAACAATGACATCATGAAATTTGCAGGACAATGGATGGAACTAGAAAAAAACACCCTGAATGAGGTAACCCAGATCCAGAAAGACAAACATGGTATGTATTCACTCACTCATAAGTAGATGTTAGATGTAAAGCAAAGGGTAACCAGACTACAGTCCACAATCTCAGAGAAGCTAGGTAAATATAGGGACCTGAAGAGGGACACATATGGAGGGCCCCAGGAAAGGAAAATAGTCAAGATCTCCTGCGTAAACTGGGAGGGGCAGAAGAAGGGAGAGGTGGGGGATGAAAACATGAGGGATCAAGAAGATCAAGTTGGGGGACAGAGGAGGAGAGTAGTGAAAGATGTATCTTGATAGAGGGAGCCTAGTTTTCTTTCTTGTCAAGTCTTTGGGCTCAGGTATCAGAGTAGTGCTGACTTCACAGGAACAACAAGAACAGTGTTTCTCTTACCCCTATTTTAGAAGCATCTAAGAAGGAGGAGAGCTGTTAATTCTTCATTAAACACTTAGTGACATTCACCATTGAAGCAATGGTTCTGTGCTTTTTTTATTTTTTTGTGGTTTTATTTATTAACTTTATATTGCAATTTGTGCTTCCAGGAGTTTGTGTATTTCATACAGTTGTTTTAATTTGGTAGCATACAGTTGTTTCTCAGAGTATTTGTTCCATTCATTCGTTCAGTCATTCATTCTTGAGGCAAGCTTTTCTGCGTATTCCAGGCTAGCCTCAGACTTGGGGCAATCTTTCTGACTAAGCTTTGAATGCTGGTATCCCAGGCTTACATTCCTGACAGCTTGGCTGGAGGTGCTAATGGGGAACTTGGGGTATATGCCCTTGACTAAAGGTCAAGCATGCAGCTTCAAGAAAGGTACACAAGGAGCATCAGGGGAGGAAGAACACCCTCCTCGTTAGCCTCCAGGTGTGCGTTCCTGATTTCAGAAGTTGGAGTTCTCCTTCTGTCTCATCATTCTAGCAGAAGCCTGACATTTTAATGGTCTTTTCAAAGAACCAATGGCTTTGTTGGTTTCTCTTTCTCTATATCATTTATTTCTGCTATAATCGTTGTTATTTCTTCCTCCCACTAACTTGGGTTCAGCCTACTGATCTGAGATTTCCCTCTGTGCACTGCAGACTTCCAGCTCACTGCCTCTGTGCACTGTGGATGCCTACAGATCACACGCAGCCTTCTGTACACTGCTTTTGCCGCTGTCCTGGCAGTTTTCTAGTGGCCTCTTTGGTTTTTTTCATTATTCCACTGAATGTATATTTTCACCTACTTGTGAGTTTTCCAGGTTTCCTTCTGAGCACTTCTGCTTCCTACCCATTGTGGGCTACTGGCTCACTGGTCAGTTATCTGGTTCCTGGATTTTATATGTCAGTGCCTTATCAAAGCCCTACTCCCATGGTCACCTTCCTTAGGGAGTCTTACTAGAGAAAAGAGAGGGATGTAAGACCAGCATCTTCTGTGAATGGGGAGAAGAAGCAGCATCCTCAGAACCACTCAGTGCCTAATCCAGGCCACTGTGCGCGCGCGTGCACACACACACACACACACACACACACACACACTCACTCACACACTCACTCACACACACACACACATTCACTCACACACACACACATATGTGCGCACGCACTTAGAGTACTAATCTATTTTTCTAGTTGTCATATTTTAGACAACAGGAACATTCTGTGATCTCAAAACATGATTCATTCATAAGATAGTTTCAGGTCCTTCTGCCCCACACTAACATTTCCTCCATTTTTGGTATAGGCAATACCATTTATCTTTTAATACTGAGTTTAAATGCAATGCCTCCTTACCCCAGCTCTGGGTTCTGTAACAGTAACCCTACACTGAACCATGCTTATTTGCTCTGTGTACATCTCTTGCCCAAGGCTATGGCCCATGTGGGGTCAACAGACTCCCAAGCAGGGTTCCCTTCAGACTTCCTAGTTCTCAGCCCCTCCATCCATTGGCAGCTCTACTAGCTGGCTTGAGAGATCTTAGGCAGACATCTGGTCTATCTCTATCTGTATCTGGTGTATCCCAGACATGCTGGGAGCCCAGAAACTGAGGATGAGGGAGCCTCTAGTGCTACAGTGTGAGTGTTTCAATGTTTTTGCCTGGACATCTGGTGGCTAACTCTGTCTCTGCCTCACACTTCCATCTTTGACTCTCATCTGGCTCTAACATTCACCTCTGGCCACTTGATTAATCACTGTCCAATCTCTGCTATGGTCAAGGTCAAGCTGAAGCCAGTAACATAATACACCACACTAGGATTTGCTACTGGTATGTTGTATATGACCCTAAATGTGTATGAATTAGGATCCCTTAGTGTGGGGGTATGTGCACACGAATGCTGGTTCCCACTTAGTCCACAGGTCTGGGCTTCCTTGAAGCTAAAGTTACAGTTAGAAGTCACCCAAAGTAGAAGCTGGGAACTGAACTTGAGTCCCCTCCAAGACTAATGCATCATTTTAGTCACTGAACCATCTCTCCAGTCCCTGGTGATACTTTTTGCCCTGAAGGAAATAGCACACACTAGCATCAGGTCCTCAAACCCAAGTAGTAAAATGCCTCACTTCACTCACAGAAGCCCTGAAAGTCAGAAACAAATCAAGTTGGAAGAGAGCTCACAACTCTGTGGGACGGAAATGAATAGAAGCCGTCTACATTTAACATGAGTACACAGTACCCAAGAGGCTAGTGCATTGGAAGTACCACCACTAAAAAGTCCAATGACCTGGGTCCAGGACTTTGTTTGTTTGAGATGGAGTCTTACTATAATAATACCCTAGGCTGGCCTCAAACTCACAGTCTTCCTGGTCAGCTTCCAGAGTACCAGGAATATAGGCATGTGCTTAGATTCTGCATTTTTGATGAGTCTTCACTATTTTGAAACAGTCAGCCATTGGATCACTATATGAGCAATACCCAGAACATAGTGACAATGGACATAGACAGGGACAGGAATACAAAACATAACCCATGCTTTCTTTGATGCCTTTATGTACTGTGCACAAGGAGGTTCATCTGGCTGGTCCTTTCCTAATGATCTTATCTGATTTAAGATTGGAGAGCTTCATTCTTACTGATGTTGGTATAGGATGTCACCTCAGTTTTAAGAGCAACCTGGTTTAGTGAAGACAGTGTCAGCTTCCCAAGTTTCTAGAAAGAGGTGTTTTAACAGGATTTTGGAGTAAGCAGAGAAACTAAGCTCTGTTTTTCCTTAGCCTGAGGGAGATAGGCTATAAAGAAGAACATGACATTTAAGCAAGATACTATTGTCCTTCAGTGTCACTCTACAATCTTTTCAAGTTTCATGAATTTACCCAAATTAAACAAGCAACATATTTTAAATGTATAACAACCATCATGTCTTGAAATAAGGAATAAAAACATCCATTTGATCCATAAAATCTTCAAATTAGCTCCCTGGCAACACACGCATCATTGGTGAGGAAGACACGTACCTGAATACCCATGTACTTTTGATGTCTATGAACCAGGCACACCAAGAGTCGTGGAGCCCAAGAAATAGTGCAGGCTATGTACTGACTGACTAGGCCAAGTTTCCCAACTGGAGGGGGATTCGGGAAAATGGCTTAATTAGCAGGATTCTGATGGGACAGGATGCTTTTGGAAACTACGATGACAGAGATATTGATGCGCTATTAGGTCCAGGAGGCCTGTCTGATATTGAGATATAATGGAATCTCCATTTGTTTCAGGATGATGCCTTCATTTTCGCACCAACATGGTTTATGGCTTGCAGGGGATAGATGGACTGGTGGATGCAGGCATTAAGGATCTGAGAGTCCCACTCTCACTCCTGCTGTGATGTGTGTGTGCTTATTCTTTTCCTAGGAGGATCTTTATTTTTTCTCCCAAATCTCGTAACTGGTTATGCAGATGTTTAATTGAGAAGACTAGCTATGAGATTACTGTTTGTTTGTTTTTTCCTTTCAAACTTTCCTATCTGGACCATTTATTGTCTCTCTTTTCTATTTACAAATACTCTAAACATTATAAAACTAAAGTTTTAAAAATTAAACTTTGCTAGGAGGCTAGGGTTTTAAAAAGGTTCTGTGTCTCCATTGAGAGCCTGGCATACTAAAAGAAGGCTAATATCAAGAAGAGATGTATGTCAGAAAAAGAAGTAGAATCAGTTAGTTGAATGAGTAGATGAGCTCCATGGAGGCAGAGGGACTCAGGGAAGGATGCTCAAAGCAAGAGAACTTAGTGAGAAAAGTCTCCTCACTGGAATACTAGAAGACCCAAGAAGTTAGGGGCCGATTCTCCAGAAAATGCCTCATGAGGTAATTAAAGCTCAACTATTGACCAGAGCCTTGAACAAGCCCCTCCTTCATTTTAACATGGTTTGCTTTGATGGATAAAATCAGAAGGGCATATTTTATCCAGCCTATGTTGCTATTCACTCAACTCTGACCCTTCTCTATGAAATGCCTTTCAATGTCTCTATGGAAGAAGTGGTACCACTTTAATTTCTAACTCCATCCCCATCTGGCCAGGAAGAGGATCAATTAATATTATCATGTTTTATCTTCAGGGCCTCTGACATCCCCAAGGACCAGCCTGTGGGACAGTGTGTCATCACAGCGCTTCTCAGCCCAGACAGGAAGAGAGCAGGATTCAGGACAAGGCCAGCTCGTGTAACACAGCTCAGAGCATACCACACAACTTGCTTCGAGGATGTTGGGCATTGTGCTTCATTAGGAAACAAAATATAAGCTTTCCACACCATTAGGGATGACTTTAGGAGTGGAAAGCACATAAGACGATGCCTCACCTCATCAACAATGCACTGCAGAAGCTGGAGAGGCTGCAATGGGGAAGAAGAGAGGAAAAAGTATTAGCCTGTGTGCAATATCTTTACAGTGGAGTGGAAAGAAAAAAAAATCATTAATGCAATAAAATATAGCAAGATTAATCAACAACAGCAAACTCTTATAAAAACATGGATGCTCAGGACGTCCTATTATTTCTAATGGTACCTAATCTAATACAGGCAGTTAAAGGTTTGCATTTTCTTCAAAATGCAATTTGCTAAGTTTAAAACAAGGCATTCAAGCATGCAAAGGAAGCAGCCATCAGGAAAAAGAAAAGTGAATTTTTTTTCTGAACTCATAAAGCTTACCATTAAAGATCCCTGGTTTTTCTGAATCTGAAAAAAGGCAATATGTAATTAGCATGTCATAATCAAAATGACTCACTTGGACACATTATGATCACTGAGAGAAAATTATTGCATTGCTGGTGGCAATTTGTGGGCATGTGTTAACACAATTTACATAATGAAAATACACAAATGTTAATAGCTCGCTTCTCATTTATAGGCGAAAGTCAGCAGAATGTTAATTTCACACAACACTTTTTAGTACCCTCCAGGTTGTATTAGAATAGGGAGAAAAACCATAATCCATTTCAAAAGGCTGTTTACGATTCAGATATAAATAATGTTTTATATTGCTAGATTGTGAACACTGGGCTTAATGTTGCAATCATTGCTAATGTTATGAAGCTCACTCTTTTTAAATTAAAAACCGATTTATTTAAAATTGAAATTAAATCATAGTCAGAAATTAGAATTTTGGATTCCTGCCAGCGTCTGCTCACAATCCCCTATTTTGTGAAGAAAACTTTAATTATGTGGCTGAAGTGTTTGCTTGGAACTAAGGAGTGGGGTAAAAACTCTACCCTTTTCAAAGTTCTTTTGGTCTGCTTCTCGAGCAGCAAGGCTCTCTGGGAAAAATCAAATGCATGAAGTTTAACAATGCTTTGCTAGGGTGCCTGTTCTCACTCAGCATTCTGTGGGCAGGCTGCTCACATCTAACACAGACAGTTAACCAAATGTGACAAGATCAATCAACTTCAACTTACTACTCAAAACATTAAACACATCACTGTCCCCCCAGGTACCTACAGTTAATGTACCCAAACCCAATAGAAACTGAGTCCTAGGTCCAGCATTTTGTAAACAGAATTTTTTCTTTTTTTTTTTTTTACAACAGGCCAGTTGTTTTCTGGGATACATGAGCTCCGAACAGCTGGTTAGATGGGAAAGAGTAAAATCCTGTTTTCCTGTAGTGCTGGGAATCAAGCTGGGGGCCTCAGACATGATGGGTAGATGTTCTACCACCAAGCTGTATTCCAAGACTCTGTTTTTTTTTTAGTGGTACTGTGTATGTTTTGTACATGTGTATACGTGTTGTGGAGGCCAGAGGCAGATATTGGGTGTCTTCCTCTACTTCTCTCCACCTTATATTTTGAGGCAGGGTCTCTCAGAACCTGGAGCTCCCTATGTCAGTTAAGCTGGTTGGTCAGCGAGACCCTGGGAGCCATTTGTCTCTGTCCCATCAGCATTAAGATTACAGGTGTAGGCCATAGCACAAGGCTTTTACATCCGTTCTAGGGATTCAAACTTTACCCACTAAGTCATCTCTTCAGCCCCTTAATGATATTTGAAAAGTTCTTTGTTACACATACTCATTTGACCAAAACAACCAATCCAAAGGTATGCAGGGGTGACAATCTCTATTCTATGTTGGGGACATAAGGCTGGAGGTGCCAAGCCTTTCCAATGTTTCTTCACCTGTAGAATATCTGCCTATGATCACAGCAGTCCTTAAAACAAAACAAAACAAAACTAAAAAACCCCACAAAAAACGACAACGACCACCACCAACTGGACATCATGCTTTTACTTGCATGGTATGGAAAATTAATGTCAATGGTCTAAGGATTGGGGTTTCAAGGGTAGGTGATAGGTGTATGAGTTTCTTTTACACCAGTGTGGCCGATCAGCAGTCCTCCCTCCCTCCTCCCAAGTCTTGCCATGGGGCCCAGGCTGGCCTAGAATCCACTACCCTCCTGCTCACCTCTTTGCTGGGGTTACAGGTGTTTTAGAAAGCATTTCCCATGCTCCATCTCAACTGGCCAAGCTTCCTGTTCATGTGTAGCCACCTTTCAGTCACCACACTGGGAAGCAGTTTCCTGGGGGCCTGGTTCTCAGTTTTCACCACTAGTGCCTGACTGTCCATCCCAGACTCCAGACAAGGATGGCAGGTGGAGATTCAGTCTACAAGGGGAGGTTGAGCTGCTCGCCCCTTAGACTGATGAGAAATTTAGTAATGATTTCCAAGAGCCGGGTCCCTTCTCCCACTGTGTTTGTTTTTCTTTTGTTTCTTTTAAGCACACACAGGTAGCTGTGTGTCCCATATTAAAAAAAGATATATCTACTTCTGCAGCCGAGCTGCCTGTAATAGACAAAGCATCAGAAGTATTTCTTTTAAGATTTATTTTTATTTTATGTGCAACGGTGTCTTGCCTGCATGTGTTCCTGTGTGAGGGGGTCCGATCCCCTGGAATTGAAATTTTACAGACAGTTGTGAGCTGCCACGTGGGAGCATGGGAATTGAACCTGAGTCCTCTGGAAGAGCCAGTGCTCTTAACCACTGAGCCATCTCTCCAGCCCCTAGAAATCCATTTTTGACATCAAAGAACATCTTTCCCCACAAACTTCCAAAAGTTGGGAGATTATAAGATTCTCTGAGGAAAATGTGGCAAAAATTCTCTGAGATGCCTTGAAATGAGGTTAGGCTTCGTTTGTGGCACTGCCTTCAGGAACAAGAGATGTGTGGACTAGACAGACAGAGGGGGAGAATTTCCTCATGACCCTAAACCTTACAGGGCTCTACTGCCTTGTTTTGCCCTATCTTGCAGGTTAGAAGCAGAATAACTTAAAGACAGCTTAAGATTGCACTACATTGACTGGACCAGTGAGGTGACTCAGCTGGTAAAGGTGCTTGCCAAAAAGCCTGATGACCTGAGTTCGATCCTCAGAATCCTCATGGTGGAAGGAGAAAACCCCCTCTGGCAACTGTGGCATGCAGGTGCCCATACACAAATAAATAAATGTAATTAAAACTGTCCTATATTAAGGCTGCAACAAGAAAGTGAGGGATGACCACTCGGTCTCGGTCTCTCTCTCTCTCTCTCTCTCTCTCTCTCTCTCTCTCTCTCTCTCTCTCTCTCTAATGATCCAGTTTTGCCCTGGATCTTAAGACATGCTGTGCCAGGGTTTTATTACAGTCTTGATAGCAACATACTACAGTATGTCAACTTCATGCATTTTGTATTAAGGTAGCAGAGCCTGAACCTGAAATTGATTCAAAATGCTTATGGTACTCAATTACTTCTGAACATTGTTACACAATTTGATGACTTATGTCTTCCATTTCACATGGGTCTGATGCGATGATGCAACATCATCATAATTGATTCATTTTCTCAATTAAATAAAGCTACTGTGCTTTTCTTTATAGAAGTGCCACACAAACCATGGAGGCAGATGTATTATCTCCTTGCCTTGTCTCAGATATATTGCCTTAAAGGCTATGTTGTGTTCCTCTGTTAATTCCACCAGAAAAATTTAATGCCATGGTCATATTTTTCAAGTTCTAAGCTGCCAACATACACGACCGTATTTATATTAGGCATATTTTTCACTGCTAAACTCTTTGTTGTTTACCTTTTTCAAGATCATATTACTGTCTGGGCACTGTGACTCTAAAACAGATCTGAACCAAGTCAACCTCTAGCCACCACATCTGTTTTTGTGCACAGTTCATGTAAAATCACAGCCCTTTGTTTTATAGCACATTAAAAGTGGTACTGACTCAGTGTAAAACGCCTGCTCCATGGATCCCCATCTTTATGCTGGATTTGCCTCTCCAAAGGCCTGACTGAGAGTGCAGAGTTCAGAGGCACACGGTCATGTTAGTGCTGATGTACAGCCTGTGCCGAACAACATCTCCGGCACTCTTTGCAAGTGGCCTGCCTGAGCCCACACTCCTGCGAGTATATTTTGCTTGTGTTGAGGGTTTTTGTAGCTAACTAGGACTTTGGGACAACTATCAGAATTAAATTGCTCCAACACTTCACTCACCACGCTCTGGAATTAGTAGTGTTTTTATACATTAATGAGATGAACTTCCTTCTTCTTCTGGCCTTCTTTTTTTCTTTTGTCAATGGTCCTAACAGGAGAGTTAGGCCTCCTGATATAAGGCAGACCCTCATATGTTTAAACAGGATGGACGACTGGTAAGGAGGCAGTCACAAGAACCAGCCAGGCTTTGCTGACTGCATTAACATTTATTGTATCTCTCTTTGCAAGAACCACACAGGTGGCAATTAGAAAGCCCCATAACATCACTCAGGACTCTGGAAAGTGATCCAGGAAATGAAATCGTTAATGCAAAGGCTGGTTGGTGGTGGTGGTGGTGGGGTCTCAACTACTTGTCAATGGTGCTAGCACTGAAAAACAATTTTGGGAGTTTCTTTTTCTGCTCCCCGCTCTGCACACAACAGCAAAACAGACCTTGCTAGCAGGTCTTTCACATCATATTCAGAGGCATAATCAGAAAACCAGAGTGGGTCCACTGTGGAGCTGAGGGAAGACACCAGCCAGGCCTTCATTTCCCCTCTGAAATGATGACTTGCCCTGCAGCTCTTGTCGGAGAGATTTATGTATGACCTAGGTCACATTTTCCAATATCAGTTGACAAATTTTCTCTTTACATATTTACTGCTTTTCAAGCTTGTGTTATTCTCTCTTAGACAGAAAAAAGAAGTCTGAAATTACATAGTATGGTTGGAATTTTTAAAGAATAGCAGCTTCATTTTGTGTGACTTGAGCCATTCTTCAGTTTTCAGTGTTAAACTCATTGTCTGTGTGTGTGTGTGTATGTGTTTTTCTTTAAAATTTAACCCAAATGTAAGGATCTGTAGACAGTTTACAGATACTCTTTTCAAAGCTGATGCATTAAGCTACAGTCCCAGCTAAATCTACAGTGATTATAGTGAACTGGGATTTTATAGTCTACATGAAGAATTAAGACCTAAAGAATTTTTCAAGTGGAAAGGACCTCAGAGATGCTTAAGCTCAATCTATTTACTTTGCCCTTATGGAAATTGAGGCTCAGAGAGGAATAATATTCATGGTCCCAGATACAGCCTGGCCTGACAGCTTGCTCAGGATCAGGAGGCTGCCCATCTGGGAAAATGCATGGACCTGAGAATTAGAAAGATCCATGGAATTCCAGGCAGATATCCACTGCCTCAAAATCCTCCTTCCTACACTGGGGCTATGGACCATTCTCTGTA